AATATTAAAATTTTCGTATAATAGGTTTTACATTTGATTTCTCAATTAATAAAGCTGAGCCTGGTGGCTCGATTTCGTATACATAATCGTGTTTACTTTTGCATGTATATTGAGCAAATTTATTTTATTATTTTTACAAGTGTATTTTCAAGATTAATCTGAATATATTAATATCATTGGATATACATGATTGAGAATTTTTCTTGGTGATATACACTTGTTGGATTAAATCCAACGATTTTTATCATGTGATTTATATCTACAATAAAGAATTGAATATTTCTGTATCTAATATAAAATGATGGCAGATACACAATATACAATTGTTTCACTAAGAGAATTAAATACCAAGCTTACAGTTGAGATTATCGAACTTAGAGAGAAGTATGCTAAGGTTGAGGCTGAAAAGACTGAACTTAAGGTTAAGAATACTGAGCTTTTAAAACAGATTATGAAAAAAAACAGCAAACGTAAAGCTGATCATACAAAACTTAAAGAAGATATTACTAACCTCAAGACCAAAAACACTGAGCTTGAAGCTGAAGTAGTGAAATTAAGATATGATATTGAGGAAATCAAAAAGAAAAATCAAACCATTACTAATACACATGATGCATTTTCTACAGAAGAGATTCATCTACTTCATCTGATGCTTCAAATTCTAATGAATTTAATAATGTTTCAAATTCTGATATATCTGATAATACTTTTTCAGAAATTAAATCTTCTAAAGATAAGGAGATCGAATTTCTGGAACGGGTACATAAAGAACAAATTAGTAATGAGATTAGAGAAAGAAACTGAAAAAAGAAGCTTCAATATGAGTCATTTATTGAAAGTTCTCCAAAAGTAAATACTCACATATCTAATATTAAATCTAATATCTCTCACAAGCAAACAAAAGAACAAGATTTAATATAGAAGATATCAGCATCTATTAAAGATCAGAATCAAGCAACCAAAATTTTAGTGAACAATTCATCAAAAATATTTGTCAAAAATCATGTATCCAAAAATTTAATTCAGGAAAATAGTAAGAAAGATGATATTATTTTGTTTTTTGCATCAAAAAGTAAAGTATTACTAAATTTAACAAGTTTATATAAGAAAGCTTGTGATGCAAAAAAGCAAGCGATTAAAGTTAATCAAGATAAAATTACATGTTGGTATTATTATATTATAGAATTCAATAATCAGGTTAAAAATCTTATAAAATCTGATTATATTGACGAGAAAAAGATGAAAGGACAAATTTATGATTTTATTATTACACAACTAAATATCAAGCATAAAAGCAAACCCAAAAGGCTAGAAAGATTTATAATTTATTCAAAAAAATAGGAATAGATAAGATTCAGCATATTAAAACCTTTAGTGCAAATGCTATTTCAAGATTTACTAATTTACAAATTCAAATAGTCATTGTTCATTTTGCTAAAATACCTGACATAAAATTCACCAATGATCAGGATAATTCTTTAGATGATTTACCTGAAGCTGAAGTAAGTATATCTATTGATTAAGATGAGTCAAAGACTTGAAACACTACTTTTTCAGAATTACCAGAAGCTAAAGTAAATATATCTACTGAAAAAACCAAGTCTCGAGTCTCTGATTCATCTATTTCTGCTAATTCAGAAACTGAGATAAGTACACTACCTATATCCAAAGAAAATACATTTAATAAATTCTGACCTCCAATCTCTATTTTACCTGGTAATCCCAAAAAAAAATGAGCTCATGTTATCAAAATGATATTAAAGTGATTCACTAATTTATCTTTTAAATGTAGTAGTAAATATACTGATCATTTCAATTGTACAGAAACATGTCCTGTATATAATAAAGAGTATAAAGACAATAATATTAGTGGTAAATAGTGTTGTGATTAGATATTTTTATAATCACAAACAATCATCTCACATGATCATTTCACATGATCACTTTACATGATTACTTCGAATGATCATTTCAAATGATTATTCCAACTGATCAAGTGCTTTGAATGATTATTGCAAATAATTATTCCAAATGATCATTTTATAATTATCAAATACTTATAAATACAGCTTGTATCTTAGCTTAGAAAAATAACAAGTTAGAAATTAATTCAATTTAGT